CCTGCTACTCTTGCGGTAGTGCCTTACGTTGATAATCCATACTCCAAACCAGCCTACCAGTGTATCGCAAAATACTGGTCAACAAAAAAAACATTTTTTTCTGGCCTGGACTTTTTCAGCTGTTTTAGACTAATTTCAGGGTGCTGATTCCAAATCTGATCTCAGATTTGCTCTATCACATCTCATTTTATGCTATCGGCATACCCCATTTTCATTGATTTTACCCGAAATTAACTCCGTCACTTATGATTGCAAGTTGTTGCGAGTCAGTGACTGCTTTAGTGTTAAAATATGGTGCTGTATTTTTAGGATAGTGTGTTTATAATATCATTTTATGTAGATATCCACATTTATTTAATATTTTTCTTCTGCAGTTTTTATTGAAAATGCAATATTTGATATCTCAAAAACCTGATGTGATAGACAAAAACTGATGCCAGATTTGGAATCAGCACCCCAAAATTACCTTACAACCGTTGGAATACCTTATGCCAGAAAAAGTGTGTTGACCACTGTATATCGAGTGAGAAATCCTTTTCCTATGGCTGATGTACATGCAGAGCAACAACTACAATTTCACATTCAGGTATTCAAACCAGACAACCACGTCAGGAGCAGGGTTATCGCTGTGATGTCTCCTTCGTATTTGTGGATCGGGGCATTGCGTCGCTACACGTTGTACGGTCTGTTCTGGGTGACCACAGTCGCACACTACTGGAGAGTTTTTTTCAAAAAATTTCCATTTGTGCATCGGGTATCCGCATCTGCCGTGGTTTTTGAGGATGCGGTGTAGGGTGGACCACGAGCTTCGTGGAAGGTCAAACCCAGGGATTTTGTGCGTTGGGTCTTTCACGAGGTGTTTGTGAGTTTTTTTGAACTCCAGCTCTCCAAGCTTCATCAGGGTTTATCTCGCATTGTTGAATGAAGCCCTCTTTGGTGTAACCCAAGGCCGTAATTATAATAAATATGCTCAAAATGTCCCCCCCCCCCAATATATTGCTATAAAATAGATTTCTGTTTATATGATTGTGGTTATGGTTGTACTTTATTAATCCCTAATCTCTGCCAATACATACAATGAAACAAGAAAAGGTAAAAAAAGAAAAAAACAGAGCAATGTAATACAATACACTATTATACATTATTGTAAAAGATAAATGAAAAGTCCATCCTATGTGTTAGTGAATTTTTTAATATTTTAGCCTGGAAGATTTGGTCCCCCCCCCCCCAATGTTGATTCCAAAATTTCCATGGCTACGGCCTTGGTGTAACCAAACAACTTGCCTGGGAGGGATCCATGCCTCGTGTCTGTCTGGCGCGTGCACTCGGCGCAACCACGTGGGTGCAATGGGAACTGCACGTGGGAGAGGAGATGGAGAGGCAGGGGGATGAAACAGCTTCGGGAGAGGATCAGCTTGATGGTTATTGAGTGTTCGCGACCTTGGCACACGAGTTCAAATCCCGGTCAGGACATAATCGTGAACTTTCGTTATTTAATTTCATTGATGCAATCATCCGTCACCCGTCATGCTAATTTGTACTGCCACTTTTTTTTTACCCAGGACAGGCTCGCTGAGTCTGAAGGCTCCTTTTAAAGAGAGTCCTGCTACACTGGGATGTTTGGGTCAATGCCATTAGCGAGTACGTCGCTTCGTTGGGGAGAGAAACCCGAGTACACGGAGAAAACCCCCCCACGCACACGAGGAGTTTGCATTCAAAAACAACAACGCCCAGATGGATTCAAGATTCCAATCCTGTACTGCCACTTCATGACCACCTCGCATAGTTCACACATCACTACGTGATCCACCAACCCTTACCTCCACAGCGCTAGATCACAGATGCACCACCACCCTCGGGAAATCATCATTATGCAGCCCAGTGTAGTCAATACGTATCTGGTCTCAATGCAAAATTATAGTTTGTGAACATCGTCGTCAATTCATCTTCATAATGATCACTTTTACATCATGCCACAACCCTTCTGTCCATCCACTGCCGGATAAGGGCCGCGGCACGGCGTGCGGGGTCAAGGGGGTAATTTGACCATACTTCACCACGCAGGTCAAGTTCAGGTTGGTGAAGGATAGGAGAGCAGAGAGACACAGAGAACGAACTCCGGTGGAGATTTACCGACACTGCCCTCTGCTGATCAGCACCCGGTCCAGCTACAACCTGGTGTACCGTGGTGGTGGTGGTGGTGGTGATCACCAACGCGATCTTATCCAGGCTCGAATCTGCTTGGCTTCTGAGATTGGACCAAATCTGTCCCCATTCATGGTAATTTGCTCATAGGCCCTTTGATGACGATAACCATAGAATGACGATGATTTAAGGCCTCGACACAGAAGCGTTATTTATCTATGTGTCTATGTTTGTCTCTCTCTCTCTGTGTGTCTCTCTCTGTGTCTCTGTGTGTCTATCTCTCTGCTTGTGTCTGTCTGTGTGTCTCCGTGTCTGTGTTTTGTCTCTCTCTCAAATTTAGAAATCTTTGGAAGAATGTAATCAACCAGGTAGGGTGTTGATGGTTGTGTTTGCCGACTCTCTGTGTTGTATTGCATTATATTTCTAAGCTTACTAGGTTTGTTTTCTCATTCATTCTTACCTGATGACGGTTGATTGTGTTGCAATCGAAACGTCGTATTCTATTATTATTGAATTTATTTTCTTTCCACGTGACTTTCCCGAAAGAACCAAAGAGTAATTCTTGCAGTGACGAAAGCTTCAAATCTAGTTTGTTATACATCCCATTGTCAATCCATGCCCAGATTAAAGGCCCCCCAACCTACCCTTGTGTCGGTGTTTGACTATACTTCACCACCAGGACGCAGCCCGGGTCCGTGAGCCCAGTGGCCCTAACCACAGCGCCACCAGTCCACCCCCTCTGGTCACTAGCGCAGCTGTTTCCATCAATGAAGAGTGGTATACAGCGTTATAATTCGAGTCATCAATCAATTTCCATCATCATCACCGACCACCATCAGCCCTCCCGCAAATCATATATCATATATCACACCGGTCGTCATCACCATCACTGTCATTGAGGAATGCATCCATAATATATACCGTACTGTATCACCAATTAGCATCAAATATTGATCAATTACCGCACAAGGAAGGTGTTACTTGTCCTATCCGTATTAAAGTGCAACACAGACCTCTAAATGTATATGTTTCATAGATTGTCACGTGAGTTGTAACGCAAGTGGTAAATCAGGTAGTACAGCGACAGCTCTTCGTCAATCCAATGCTGGATAAACGCTTCGCCGAGGCTTATCGATAATTTGGGGGGGGGGGGTATGTTTGACCATACTTCACCATGCTGGTTGGCATTTCGGGGGTCTGTGAAATGAGCCGGGAGGTTGGGGAGGTCATCGCTTAAAGCCAGGGATGTGCTTAGCGCAGGCACTCTCTCTAAACACTTTGCCATGTCAATGTATAACACGTCTCGTGTCGGCGTGTTGGTATATCAACAACAACAACTGAGTTGCTGGTGGTGGTGGTGGGGGGGGTCTGTGATCATGGGAGCGGTGGCGCAGCGGTTAGCGCACTGCGCTCGGGAATCCCGGCGACCCGAGTTCGATTTCCGCTCACGGCCAACGTCAGAGAGGAGTTATTTAAAACCAGACCTGGGCCTCCTCTAGGTCGACTCGGCCTCAAACGAGTACCTGGTGCGGTGTGTATACATTAGCACTAGGGAGACAAAGACGGCCGGGCGTGGTGCTGGAACCCCTCCCTCCGTCCCTCGTGTGCCATCCCGGGCTTCATAGGTGCTCGCAAACAGCACTTGCCCCGACAGTGCGTGGAAGGCTACACGGGGCACCTTGATCTTTGTCTTTGTGTTCACGGCCGGGGGAGTGATACGGCAAAATGGAGGCGGGGTTGGTGGACCAGGATGGGATTAGCGCCACCATTTGACCAATGCACTCTCTTGCAGCGGGTGCTTGTACTGTAACACGAGACAGTACAGCAAGCAGGCTGCACGGCAGGCTCGCGTATGCGACCGTGTCTTCTTGTTTCTCTCTTGCCCTCGTCGCTATCGCTTTTTTGTAAGTGAATCAAGAGGAGTTTTAAAATACCATTGGGACAAATTATTGTAAATTAGTGTACTCAGCCAAGGCTTTTGCGGGGCAAGATAGATGCCCATTGAACACATCTTAACTAGTACTGATCCAAGCCTTGGTGGCGTTTAGTAATTTACGTAGTTCAAATTACACAATGCGCCAGTCTCGTCATCATATATCTACAAAGCTAAGCAGCTTTGTGCCTGGTTATTGCACGGATGGGAAACTGCCCAAGGTTAGCCAAGTGTTGCGGAGGCTTTCGCCTGCGATGTGACCAAGACACGGGTTTATTGTATCCATCTGTGTGGGGCTTTAATGAGCATTATACCCCCACGTCTGAGTGTGTTAGAGGGCATCTCTAGGGGGGGGGGGGGTATGGGGACCCCCACATTAAACTCTCAATCACCACCGTCGCCGGTGTGATACGAGCCAATTCTTAAAGGCAGCGGCAGGGGCTTTTTCCTCCCCCCCACCCACCCCAACGTTATTATTATTATTATCATCGTACGATAATACTCGTCGTCAATGAATTAATTGTGCTCGTCAACTAAAAAATTAATTGTCGCTAACTCATTAACGATCTCGCACGCAGTGCCCACTGACCACGCTACCGTAATGACGCGACGCGACGCGCACTCGCGCACAGACGACGGTAGCCGCTTCACCGCGCCGCCGCATGTTGGGCAACGTCCGCGCGCATCAAATAGTGCGCGACGGCCCCGTCTCCGATCTAAAATATAAAATAAACCCCGTCACCTCCCTCCAAGCTTAACATTCGCCTCCACCACCAGTTCAGCCCTCGTTAACAGACGACGATTTGTTAATTCCTCCTTGGTGAACTTTAAGGGAGAGCTACGGACAACACGCCCCCCCCCCCACCGCAAGCGAGACTTGGAAGTCGGCAGTTATTTATTTATTTCACACTTGCGGCGGAGGGATCTCGCGCGAGTCGTTGTGTGGCCGCGCGGTGAGAAGCAGCAGCAGCAGCAGGCGGCGGCGGCGTTGGAGTGCGAGAGGCGAGCGAGGCTTGGTGGCGGTAGTAGTAGTAGTGGGGGGTTGGTTTGGCTTTACCTTTGGTTTAGAGCTTTAAAAGACTTTTAACGTTTTCTAAAATTATAATAAAAAATTTCAACGTGAATATTCTCCAACAACGATTAATCCCGACGCTTCTTTGGGATGCCCATCATGATGGAGCGAGGCTCCGAGAGCGTTCGGGGAGGGGGTCGTGCGAGTGGCACCAAGAGCCCGTCCGGTGCGGCGGCGGCGGCGGCAGCGGCGGCGGCTGCGAACGGCCACCACTCGGAAGAGAGCAGCTCCAGTGAGGACGAACGCGCGGGTGTGTAGCCTCGAACACCACCGAAAGGCTACTACTCTTCATTAACAGTTCATCTTTACGTTTAAAAAAATTTCATTGCTCGTGGTTGTGGGAGGTGGTGTTGTGATTTGGGACGCACGTGTTTAATGGGTTTTTTTTTGTGTTTTTAAACGAAAAAATGTTTTTCAGGAGGTGGCATTCGGGTGGGTTCGAGCTACCAGGTCGTCATTCCTCCGTTCAACCCGGGTAAGGCGCGTGGCTGCCCGCAGAGCAGGGAGGGCTGGCCGGTGGTGTAGCCTCGGTTTACTTGACATCCATAACCCACCCCACACACACACTATAATAAACCCATGTTTTACGTGTTTTTATTAATTGTGTTAATTCAATATCGTTATATTTTCGTCTTTGGAAGTTTTTAGATTCGTGTGTTATCTACTTTGGCGTTATTTATGCCTTTGTAATTGTGTTTTACAGTCCTGTGATACCATCGACTTTGTGTCGTTTGGAGTGTACTTGGTTACTTTAGTCAGATTCAAACGCTTGTTAAATTAGTTCATTTATGCTACGATCTTTATATCTTTTACCGAACGTTTGTATTATAAACTTGTACGTTTATTTAAATAGTAATATAGTTTTTTTTTAACAAGGAAAAGAAAATGTAATCTGATCACAACCATCGCTCCTAACGTGGCACGGCCTTTGTTCCTGGTGACTTGGTAACATTTGGTCGAGAGTTGTCTAATACTGTAACATTGTTTATATATAATGTACTGTTTAGTCCATTGTTAATCCACTGCTGGATGAAGGCCTCGCCAAGCCTTGTCGGTCATGGGGGAGCTGTGTGACCATACTTCACCACGCTGGTTAATCCGAGTTTTAAACGAATTAAGGATGGTGCTGAAATCGCCACGATGGCAACAAAAGACGTTTACATATTTACAGCGGTTTTTGTTGTTGTTGTTGTTGACGCAAATTATAACTTTAGTCGCGTGACGTGGCAGTGAAGGTAACTTGCCTTTTTATAAAAATATATAATGCAGGATTGTAGGGCTGAAGTTATTTAAAAGTAACAACGTTCAATATCTTTGTAGGTCATTTACATTGGTCTTTAACGTCAATGTGTTGGGGATGTGATATTATTATTCTTGTGTTGAGGTTTTTATTTGGCTTCCCTGTTTACTCGTGTTGATGATTCGCCAACGAGAGTCGATTATTTCTCGTCACTTTTCACGTTCAAGAGTAAGAAGATGCGCTCTAAAAAACACATTTGGTTCATTTATCGGCCTCTAGCGGCTGCAGGGGTCTCATTAATCATTAATATCACCGCATACAACATGTACGAATCGGGGGTAACAAGACTTGATTTAACACGCGATTATTTGCACGTATCCTGAGCTCCCACTGCTGGATGAGGGCCCCACGCGATGTGGTCGTGAAGGTTGTTTGACCACACTGGTCAGTGCGGTTTGGCGAAGATGATACAGTAGTAGTCATTCATGAATTGCTGCGTCGTTACGCCCCTCCTGTTCTCTACCTTCCCACACTCACCCCCCCCCAGCCATGAGTATGGTAAGTGGCGTCGGCCATGATGAGCCTGGCTGGCAGTGCTCGACCCATCATCATCATCATCCCAGTGATCCTGTCGCACCAAGACAAATGTCGTCGTCCCCCCCAACAGTGCAGCCTTTATAATAATGAACTCTTGGAGGAGGTGGTGTTAGCGAGCACCTATTGAGGCCAACACGGCACACTAGGGGGTGGTGTGGTCAACAACACGCTCGGCCACCTTTGTCTCCCCAGTGATACAGTGTTTACATAATTTAAGGTTGAGTCGACCAAGGAGATGCAAAGGTCCCTCCGTCCACCCTTTATAAAGTTTTGGAAGAGGTGGTGTTAGCGAGCACCTATTGAGGCCAACACGGCATACTAGGGGGTGGTGTGGTCAACAACACGCTCGGCCGCCTTTGTCTCCCCAGTGATACAGTATTCACATAATTTAAGGCTGAGTCGACTAAGGACATGCAAAGGTCCCTCCGTCCAACCTTTAGAAACTCTTGGAGGAGGTGGTGTTAGCGAGCACCTATTAAGAGCGACACGGCACACTATGGGAGGGATGTGGTCAACAACACGCTCGGCCGCCTTTGTCTCCCCAGTGATACAGTATTCACATAATTTAAGGCTGAGTCGACTAAGGACATGCAAAGGTCCCTCCGTCCAACCTTTAGAAACTCTTGGAGGAGGTGGTGTTAGCGAGCACCTATTAAGACCGACACGGCACACTAGGGGGGGGGGGGATGTGGTCAACAACGCTCGGCCATCTTTGTCACCCCAGTGATGCAGAATTTACATAATTTAAGGCTGAGTCGACCAAGGGGATGTCCAGCACCGGTTCAGATATGTGTTAGCCGTGGTTATCGGACCAAGCTGCGAATCGAACCAAGGTTGCTGGGTTAGAACCACTATACCACCACCGTGCATTCACACAAGCCGGCCTCGTACCGGGTATTGGCAGCACATCAAGTAAGTGCAGGACGCCTTGCACTTCCCATATCCCTGAGGGATGAAGAGGGAGGAGGCAGGAAGATGATGGGCGAGTGAACGAATGAGTGAGCGACCCCGTCTGTAAAGGTAAACAACGAGTTGATTGAAAATAATAACTGGGTTTTTTAGTTTTTTAGTCACTGGGTTTTCATTAAGAAGTAGAGGAAGTAACTCCTACTTGAATCGTTTCTACCGTGCAGTGACTGTGGGATAAGGGAGAGAGCGGCTAGATAGCATTGGCCAGGCGTGGTGGCATTAATGGCTTGGGGCCATGGTGACATCTTTACTTTAGTCATCTTGCTATTTTGAATTGATTCTCTTTAATGGCCAACACTGAATGTTGTGGTTTATGCGTTGTTTTTAATACATATCCATGTCAATTAAACAATAATAAAACATTACCAGAGTACACTCTTATTCAAATTAGTTGTGCGAGTGAAAAAATATATTCTAAAAGTCGGTGGAATGGATACAAACTTACATTTTGCCCATGGCACACCATGGGAAGCGGAGTAGAGCCAAGCATATAATTGTAATGTATGAAAAAAGACAAAGGAACGCCAAAGGAAGAGGAAGAATGGAAAGTAAGAGGAAAAGAATAGAAAAAGAACATGAAAACGGGACCAAAGGGTCAGAAAAGTTGAGGATGGGGAGGAAGAGGCGCTACATAAGGTCCTGGACACTGCGTCTGTTTTTACAGGGGGCGGGGAGAGGGGAGGGATTCAGAGTAGGAGTGGTCACATCGAAGTAGCATTATTTATGGGAGGCTGGAGCTGATTTAGATGTGTTATCACTTTCCAATATGTTACTTATTGTTACTTATTAAATACAAATTCAGATTTCTTTCACTCGTGACGAGGATGCAACTTTTTCACTTTTAATACATTTCTGCGTGGAGGGCAAATTATAAAGGATGTGGATGTAAATGTATACTTCATTAATTTTTTCATGTGGGACAACGTGAATGAGAAAGGAGGATAAAGCTATCCATGGTGACTGTCGTGCAATCACAGCTCTACTCATGTCTACTCTGAAAATGACACACATCACAGAACACCAATGCTCGGGGGTAGATAATGAAAAAAAATGGCTTTTGTGAAACTGAAACTGCAAGTTGTAATGAAAATTAAAAATTATATTTGATTCCATTAGGTTGAGTTATTTTTCATAAGAATGAATGGAAACCCATTTCACAAAAAGGAAGATCTCTGCATTTTAGCTGTGACATGCCTTCAGGAAATATTACATGGGTATGATCAGCGTCTTTGCCCATGGCCATCCCACCTTCTTTACAGTAATTTACCCTAGCCGTAAACCCTAATATATCCAGAAGAAGCTTCATCAGCAAAACGTAGAGATTTTTTTCAGTGACTGTAAAAATACCCTGATCTTTTTATGTATCCCTTGAATTAAAGTGGAGGTGCAGTGTGTTCATTGAACACACCTTGCTTTAGATCCTGGCGACCTGAGTGTGATCCCAGGTCCCTGGAATGATAGCCTAGTTTTGTGCTAATGTAATTGTTGACACCCAGGCTTGCAGATTTAAAAGATAACAAAGAGTTGGCAATATTGCAGGAAGGCTATTTACCCATCCATATAGCATGGTTAATTTTCGTTTCCCTAAAATTTTACTTTCCCTAAAATTCGTCTGGTTTCTTCTGGCATTCTGAATTCCACACTAAATAATAATTGATCAAACATCACAATGCAAGACTGTCCTGAATAATATAGTAGTCCCGATACTCATAAGTCTTTTCCAGATAAATAAAGGACATTCATCAGCGGTGGGGAGGTAAAGGCAGCCGGGCGTGCATCTTGCTGACTGCCTGTTTAGCACGCCATACTGTCCTTAATAGGTGCTGCTTAGCACTACTTCACGTATATGTTTATAATATACGTAAGAACATACAGCTCTTAGTCAATCCACTGCTAGATTAAAGGCTCCCCATGCCGTGTAGGTCATCGGGGTTGTTTGACCGTACTTCACACCAGTCATTGCACGTTATTGAAGGGGAGGTCTAGGACCAGTTCAGATATAATTCACCACAAACTCCAGTCACCTGGTTAATGGTGCAATGTGCTAACTATTGTATCACCGTCCCCCACCCTATTGAGACAAAAATCTGTTTTTCAAAGCAGACTTGGACCACAAATGAAGAATTGTACAATACAACAATATTGTTTTTCCATAAAATGATTAACAGAATCACAAAAAATTAACACTAGATGAGTAATATATGAAACAACCATCAATTTATATTATTTGGGTCTTTCGGTAAAGTCATGTAGATAGGTTAAAATTAATAAAAATAAACATAAAACTATGACGTTTCGATCACAACACAAGCGTTCGTCATCAGGAGGAAAACAGGGGAAAAGCTGCTTAAAGCAGACTGTTTTAAAGGTTTATAATGGGTGTAGCCCAAGGGTCATAAACGAAATGGGCGGGGCTAGTTATGTTAATGTGAGAAATTAGCATGTTACTGTAAGATCTGAGAGCGGCCTCCACAGCGAGCGCGCTGAGGTGGCTGTGTTAATGTGAGACATTCGCATGTTAATGTAAGATCGCAGAGCCGCCGTCGTGTCGAGGTCGGCGCGCGGAGGTGGCGGTGTTTGTGTGAGAAATTTTACCTGTCAATGTAAAATCGGAAAATAACAACTAACATCAGAAGGTGGCAGGATGGGAACATCACAGCCAGTTATGACTTAAACTGGTTGATAACGTCCTTCCAATGATTGCTAAGTTTGTGCCCATCTTCTCGGTTGAAATTGTGTCTGTATATATGTGTAAGGACAGTACGGGGTGATGTAGGGACAGTACGGGGAGGTCGTGCGAGGGGAAGCAGGGGACCTAACGGTCGTAAATGCGGTGAGAGAGGGTTCGGGAATAGGGGTGGGGCCGGGTCGTGAGGGGGATAAGAGCTGGCGCGAACCTGGCCGGCTGGGCTGCTGTTGTGGGGGAATTGCTGTCGTCACCTCGGAGCGGGTCGTCTTCATCATCCTGGAGTGGGCACCTTGCAGTCTTGGAAGGCTAGGGTTATGTTGTCTCAGAATAGAGCTATCTTAGTTACCCAAGTGTATATAGTCTTTAAGTTATCAGAGAGTTGGCGGACTTTATTCATAATAAATATACATATAGCCAAACAAGACGGTGTCTCTGAGAGCTACATTACATATGGATGGCTTCATGAACGAATCTTTGTTGAGCCAACCGCATTAAAACAATGATCAGCCACGGCCGACGTGTCGGTCCTACCATGTTTCAAATCTGCCTTATGCCCACGAACATGAAACGAGACATGTCGCTTACTTTCCCCAATGTAACTACTGCTGCATATATACATCTTAGTTTGTAGACACCAGGGTATGGCATATCGGGGATCCTGTCCTTCACAGATAGGATCAGATCACGAATTTTATGTGCTGTGTTAAATCGAACCTGGATCTTGTGTTTGTTCATGATTTTGGAAATCTTTTTGGTGACCAACTGCTATGTATGGCAAGGTGATGGTTTTGATTGGGTCCTCAGATGGTTCTTTCCCAACGGTTGGGGTGATAGCTTTACGGATTGTGTGGTCCGAATATCCATTCATCTTAGAGCTTTGTGCACGCGTTTCAGTTCACTGGCTAGGTGATGGTCGGAGATACATCGAGCTCTATGGTGTAGAGTTTTGATGAGGGAATTTTTCTGGGATGGATGGTGGTGGGAGTCAGGTTTTAGGTAGGCATCCGTAAAGAGTTGCTTTCCTGTAGACAGTGTCCCATTGAGCCATCTGGTCTCTTTTCGATTAGAACAACCAAAAATGTTAGCTTGCCATCCTTTTCCACCTTCATGGTGAATTTGATGACTGGGTGTATGGCATTAATGTGGTTGAGGAATTGGTTCAGAGCTGGTCGGCCATGTGGCCAGATGACGAACGAGGACGGACATAGAGTGGATGCCTGGATGGCATCTGTCTCAAAATTTTCCATGAAAACATTGGCTACAACCGGAGATAAGGGAAAAACCCATTGGGGTGCCTTCAACTTGTTTGTAAAATGTTCCATTCCAGGTGAAGTATGTATTTGGTGAGGCAGTGTCTAACCAGGGCCGGTACATCAGCATTCAATCCTTGGACTAAATCTTCAATGATTGCAATGGTGTCGGGCACAGGAACTTTGGTGAACAAAGAAACTACATCGAAACTAACACTAGCTCTGCCCACTTAGTTTATGACCCTTGGGCTACACCCATTTTAACCTTTAAAACAGTCTGCTTTTAGCAGCTTTCCCCCTCTGTTTTCCTCCTGTAGACGATCACTTGTGTTGTGATCGAAACGTCATAGTTTTTTGTTTATTTTATTTTTATTAATTTAAACCTATCTAAGTGACTTTACCAAAAGACCCAAAGAATATGAATTCCTGCAGTGTCAAAACCTTTAAGTCAATAATCGATAAGTAAAACAATACCAAAGCTGAAAATGTTACAGATAATATAATTGGTAAAGTTAATTATATTGATACACCGTTAGCACCCAGATCCATCTGACCACCTTCAACAATAAGTCAGCATTTACTCAGGCTGAAATAGGAATCTGGTATGCAGTTGTGCAGCAGTTCACACACTATGGTGTGATCCCGATGACCTGGGTTTGATTCTTGGCCATTATGGCATGTGGTGTGTGTGAACCTTTCCTTGGCCTTTAGTCCCTTATAATTTGTGGACATAAACAATGGGTGACCTAAATGCTGCTGTGTGTGGAGATGGTCACACCACACCTTTGTGTTCTCTGCTGGCTTTAATAAAGTTTTGCTCGCAACATATGCTCCTGTAAACCACTGTAAGGCTTAATTGGGGGATTGTTGTGTTTGGGTGTGCGTCTGGTGGTGGTGGTGCAGGTGCGATGCAATGCGAGGCGGCGGAGCGCGAGAGGGAGCGGGAGCACGCCGGGATGCTTGTGTGGTCGCCCAACCATAACATCCCCGAGCCAAGACGTGAGGCAATGCAAAGAAACACTGGGATATGGGTCGGGGTCTGAATTATAGTCAGGGTTGTGGTGTAATGGAAAGTTTTGGGGTCAGGATTATGTTTGGTATCTGGGTTAGGGTCAAGGCTAAGTAAGGTGGTTTAGGATCAGGACTGAGAATGGTTATGTTATGGTCAGGGTTGAGGCCAGGGTTAAGGTCGGTGCTACGTGCAGAATTTCAGTCTGGGTCAGAGTTTTATGTTGAGGTATTTTGGTTAGAATTAAGTTTAAGGTTCGACTTTTACTCTGGGTTAAGGTCAGTGTTAGGTTGTCAGGGGTTGATTAGGGTTATGGTCAGATGATCAGGTTTGCCAGGCGTTCCCTTGCAGCTGAATGGTTTAAAAAAAAATGTAAACAATAATTTGAATTTCAACTAATCTTGCTGTCTTTTTAGTGGATGAATACATCGCCATTGCCAAGGAGAAGTATGGATACAACATGGAGCAGGTGAGTTACTAGATGTTTTTTTCAGTTTATGAATATTAAAGTAATTTATTCCATTCCATTCACCCAGTTAATGTGGAGCTTTTCTCCTGTTTTTGACCAATAAAGACTTAAGTGCTGGTTCTGCACAGCCAAACAAGACTAATCTTGGTTCTCATCGTAACCAATCACTATTGAGCTTTGCTTTTTCCCATTAGCACAGTTCCGCACCTCTGATTAACACGGTTGGCTACACACTTTGCAAAGAAGTTTGACATGTATACAGCCAACCATGGCAAGGGGTGATCATAATGTCACTTATTCATGAATGCCTATCTGATTGAAGACACTTTCTCATTTGAATGTCTGCTGTGAAACTTGTGTATTCAATTTATTTGGGGGTTTATTAATTGCTTGGATGAGCATTTGGGCACTTGTTTGGAATATTGATATTCTCCACAATCTGTAGCCATTTCTGTTCAGGTGCTAAAGTTTGAAATTGAGGGCTCTGGCTTTGCTGAACAGTGATTTGCTTGATTTTAGACAATGGCTCAGTAGCTTTGTGGTGATTGAAACACATGGTCGGTGCCAGCTGTTGTTGTGCAAGCTGACATTTGGTTACGTTGTGCGTGTTTCGTGCGGCAGGCTCTGGGGATGCTGTTCTGGCACAAGCACAACATCGAGAAGTCGCTCGCGGACCTGCCCAACTTCACGCCCTTCCCGGACGAGTGGACGGTGGAGGACAAGGTGCTGTTTGAGCAGGCGTTCAGTTTCCACGGGAAGAGCTTCCACCGCATCCAGCAGATGGTAGGAGCGAGAGTGAGCTAACAGTCGTGCGAGTGTGTGGGCATGCGCAGCACTATCGTTGTTTGCAACACACTCATGCTCAGGCTGTTTATTAATAGGGTCGCATTCCTTACCCTAGAGACACCCCAGAAGCAGTCTTCATTGAAGGAACAAAGTATTTACACCACTGGAAACTCAAAGCATGACTTTCCCAACTCACTGCAGCTGATTGCAATACGATTTCTGCAGAAGTTTTAGGAGTGGTGATGACACAAATAAGAATATCTTTCCACGCTCTCTGCCCCTTACCACGCCTGCCTTTTCGGCTCTCCCCCATCACTTTACATCTCAGCTGCCTGACAAGTCGATCGGCAGCCTGGTGCGGTACTACTACGCGTGGAAAAAGACGCGCACGCGCACCAGTGTGATGGACCGCCAGGCACGCAAGCTGGCCGGCAAGCGTGAGCACGATGAGAGGTGAGTGGAGTCATTTTACTGTACTTCACCATGTTGGTCATTGCCGGTTCGGGAAGGTGGAGAAGTAGCGGACGTCCCCGTGGTTTGATGAGGCGGCACCGCATGGGATTGGAACGCCCGGGGTCGTGACGTATGACGTATGACCTGCAACGTTGTCTTCACGCAGTGACGAGTCCGATGATGGGAATCGTGCCGAGGGGCGCGAGGGAGACGCGGAGGCGAAGAAAGAGCCTAAGAAGGAGGTAATGAGGGGGAGCTGTAAAAAATGTGTTACCTGCAGTGCTCGATAATTGTAAAAGACTACAGTTTTGTGTGAGTGGTTGGCTGCAATGCACTGCTTGCTGGATGATAGTTTCCCATGGCATGCGGATCCTGGGGATTGTTGGACACAGAGACCACGGTGGTCCGTGTGTTTTTGAGACTGGGAAGCCCATTGGCCTTTGCTGTCCACAACTCCCGATGAACACCTGTTTTATGCATAGTCATAGCTCATCCGAGCACTCTTCAGGTTCAGCCAGGCTGGGGTGATTTGGTTGTAGAGGATAGTCATGATTGCAATGATGACATGTATATACATTGTCCTTTTATATAAACAAGCAGTTTACATTTGAGGTAATCATTAAAAAATTCTGGGTATTTGCAGTTACGCATGGACACGTGTTTCATTTATTTAGTTTTGTTATTTTTCAACTTTTTTTCAAGTCCTGATATTAATGCTGACAGACCACAAAGTAAAAATAACAATGCTCCCAGCTCGGTGCAAATGGTGTGCAGGAATTGACAGTTCTAATTTATCAACAGGTTTTGTATTCTAAACGCTTTCGGCTAATGCGTTGGAAAATCAGTGTTGTGTGTATTTTAACACTGTGTGTGTGTGCGCATGGTTTTTTGTCACCCCCCCCCCCCCCTTCTGTTCTCTGGCGCTGGTTGTACAGGTGGACGGGCGAGTCGTCGGTCAGCCGCCCCCCAAGGTACGTGATCTCGCGTTGCCACCATGGGGCCACTTGCGCTAGTATAATTCTGTGATGGTTGTGATTGTTGATACTGATGCATTTTATGGAGAGGGTGTTGACGTTGGCAAAAATATTTGATAAAATTGTAGTGATTTGATGACAATGATGGTGACTGTGGTGATGGTGAGGACAATGGTTGGTGTCAGTGGTTATAATCACAATGGTGAAGGTAGTGGCGGTGATGACAATGATGGCAATAGTCCCAATGGCAATGATGTGGAAGAAAACTGTGGTGATGAATTGCCATTATTGGTGATAACAATGATGCCGGTGACCTCGATGATGAAGGTTTTGGTAACAATGTGCTCGCGCGTGCAGCCGATGGAGCCTCCGGTGCAGCAACCGAGCCGGGCGGGCCCCATCCGCCGTGAGGGTCAGGGTCCTCAGCACCGGCACCACATGCTGCGCAACAAACGCCGGCCCCCTCGCGGGATGTTCCTCAGCTGGGACGACCTGGTGGTGGTATCGGCCTGCCCAACGGCCGCCAGCACTGTCCTGCGGCAGCTTGACATGGAGATAGTCTCCCTCAAGAGACAGGTGACGCGCAATCACCTGCACAGCTGTTTACTCGCCTGCTCGCACGTCTGCCTGTTCGCCCTCTGCCTGTTTGCCCTCCTGCTTCTCAGTGTGCAAGCACCTGTTGGTCTTGATGACGGTAGTTGTGGCGTCTTGTCCTGCAGGTGCAGAGCGCGAAGCAGCAGAGTGGATCTCTGAAGCAGATGCTGGATGGGGGGATCTCAGCTTTTCGACCAACTGAGGTGAGTCTCAGCATAGCATTTAACCCCCTGACAAACCAAACCTCTAACCCACAGAGGTGAGGCTTGTTTCTCTTGCTTTAATCCACAGAGATGAGCACTGACCTGAACCTATAGGGGTAAGCCTCGACCCTTACCATTGTTACACAAAGATTAGCCTCCACATAACAATAACCCACAAACTGAGAATTGAAGCAATCCCTAATGCAGCAAGAAACCTCAACCCCAGCTCAAGCCCAACTCAAACCACTATTGTGAGCCATGTTTGTGACCCTGTCTCCCAGGGCATAGTTCCACGTTTACAGTCACCTGTGTGGCAGGAGGCTTCAAGCTGGAGGAGGGGAGTTTGTGAACTCCTCCCTCAACTTATTAGGGTTGTATTATTGGGTGAGCCCATTGCCAGTGTTAAACATTACAAATAGAAACGTTTTAAGTGTGTCAAAAAAACTTCGTAAGCTATGTCCATCAACTTGACAGAAGTCATGATGGCTAAAAGTTCAAAATTAATTTATTAGGTATAGCCCTGTGAGCCATTCGGCTCTTGAATCGGGTGCAACCGCAACAAACAAAAACATGAACAAGAAAATATCTTAAAGTGACTATGTGCAAACAGAAAATCCAAGAAAAGACAGCAAAATATTGCAGAAAAAATCACCGTACACCAACCCTGTGCAAATATCCCAGTGGGATGCAAGTCAAACAACAACAACCACAAGACAACTTAGATTAAGGCCATCAGTCTAACTCTGTACTACAACAAACAAACATGGCCAAACCAAAAAACTTTTCGAAAATCACCAAAATAAAGCCATAAAAGCAATGAAATAGTGGTCATAGGAACTAACAGTGGTCATAGAAAAGAAGTGTCTTAAAAAAATATGCGATCCCAGCAGCAAGGCACATTGGTAGCACTGCCATGTTTTAAGTGCCTTGTGCTTAGCTCTGCGTTGGTAATCGTTGCTGTACTGTCACGTGATGCGCAGTGCTTTGACATCACAAGTGTTGCTGTGCTGTTTTGCGCAGAGTAATCCACGAGTGAGCGTCCGTTGGTCAACTGAGGAGCAGCTCCTGGCTGTGCAGGGTGAGTAACTAGACAAATGAACAAGGGGGAGCCTTGGAGGATGGCTTGGGACATTTTTCAAACTGATCATAGGAATATTTGGTATCTTAGTTGTTTTTGCTTGGATGTTCAGGGTCTTTAACATTTAAACAGGTTCTTAGTAAAATGTGCATTTACATTTGCACATCTTTGGAACTTGCATTTTTAAAAATAAATCTTATAATTGTAGAAAATGTGTGGATGAAGTGTCTGACAAAAAACTTTAAACCATTGAAATCGTTAAGAAGCAAACATCTGCCTCTTACAGTTAGACAGGGGTGGGGATCCTATTGGGCCGTAGGCAATATTTAGCCCAGGCCACCATTACTGCATGCATCTTAGCCACATTAATTGTGTACTAGAAGGGATTTTTTCCACCTGGCCACACTATTTCGAATTTTAGCTGTTGATTTTGACAATTTTTGGCACTCTTAATGACATTTGAAAGTCCTATTCAACCCTCCGTAAGGAAACTGTTCGCCGCCCCTGCCCTTGAAGGAACTGCATTTCTTTGCTTACATTTGTTTCGGAGTTGGTTACACGTTTTATTTCGAAAAGGAACAAGGTTAATTTCAGGTCTTACATATATTTTGCCACCAAATGACATCACGATTCAATCGATAATTACTGGGATTGTAGTCCAGTGAGCTTCTTTGAACCACATGGATTTTACATTGACTGCATTATCATGATAATCATTTTCTATCCATTGCGAGCTGAAGGACTCTGCTAAGCTATCGCCATTTCACATGGTCCTGCGATGCCACAATTCATCTCACTTCATGTGTGATGATCTCATCACTCCCATATTAAACATGGACTACCTCCTTGGGCAGATATTACCATACCAGTATGATCCATCGGCCATCTTACCCAAGCCCACCTTATGCCAATATGGTGTATTTGATTTGCAAATGTTCCATGATTTAACTGTTCCTTTTTCAGTCACTCCATTTAGTTCTGGCTTTGTGTCTTTCCCAGCTTCTTTGCGCCCATGTAAATGTTTGCATATGTAGCTGGCAGTATGCACTCGCTAAATGTTTCGCTTTTAACATGTGAAAACTACACACTCCCACAACAAAACAACCTCCGTAGGCATTCGCCGCTACGGCCGGGATTTCCAAGCGATTGCGGACGTGCTGGGCACCAAGACCGTGGCACAGATCCGCAACTTCTTCGTCAGCTACCGTCGCCGCTTTAACCTGGAGGAGGTGCTGCAGGAGTGGGAGGCGGAGCAGGGAGTCACGGGTGGGGGAGCGGGTGTTGGCGGGACCAGCGGTGGCGGCGGTGTAGCCTCGGGCGATGGCGACAGCAGCTGCAAGAGCTCCTCCAACGCATCGTCCGGCAAAAACTCTGATGATGAGAATGACGAGGTGAGGCCTGGTGATAGTAGACCCGTAGTAACCCACGCTCACGTTGCTGTTCATGCTATTTACACTACACATTGCTACACTGTTAATATTGCTATTAATCTTACCATTAACCTTGCCATTAATACTTCATACCCGAGGCGACACCGAAGGACTAGCGTACCTGTGGCCCATCGATGGCCTACCTCTCCTATTAACAACATTCCAGTCTTAACATTACTACACTGAACATTACTATTAATAATACGATTCATGTATATATATATATCTAAGTGTACTGCTCTTTTATCATTCTGCTGCTGGATGAGGATCTCCTCAAGCCGTGTCGGCCTCGGTGATTATTTGACCGTACTTCACCGTGCGGTCCGTGCGAGTTGTTGAAGGTGGACACCATTATTTAGGAACATAGAAGGACTGTACAGCAATGGATTTAACTGCACTACCTTCAGGTGTGCACCAAGTAGGCCTGCACCCTATGACAATTTGTTTGTGCATGGTGGTCACCCACTTCAGTTGGGCGCGTTCTGGGTGATTTGGTTGTAGGCACTTCTTCATACTATTGCACTGTTAACAGTACTATGCTGTAAACAATAACATTCTTGTATTGTTAACGTATTACTCAATTGGCAAACAGCATTGCCCCCTTATATTAAATTTAGTAGGAACCTCCTTGAAAATGAGTTTAGAAACTCAAATGAAACGAAGCTGTTCCAAGTAGGGTTTGTCAAGTAAATAACCAACAAATCTTATCCTCTGTCCCCATATGTACAACAAAAGTTTTAAACTTCGCTCATGGGAAAAAATACTTAACAAATCGCAAGTGTAAGGAATATTGTCGTCACTCCCATATGTTTTAATACAACATCATTGGAGTAGGCTATGATAGGAAGATCTATTGTGAGATTGTCTTTATTTTTTCTCATTAACAAAGCTTTCTCTTTTCGGGTAGTCCAGAATACACAGCCTCGGCAAATAATCACGAGAAAAGTATTTTTTTTATTGCGTATTTGAGTACTTCAGAATATGAGAATAGGTTTTCCCCTTTTTTCTGGCAACAAAACAGGTGTTAAGATGTTAATACACCAAACTGAAACCTTTTACAAGGAATCATGTCTGAATTAACCACAATACTTGTGGTCAGAATGCAAACAAAAAACATACTCTGATAATATATGCATTGTCTTTGAAACGGATTGGGGTACGGATTGGTGTACGCCTTTTGGCGTCTTCTGGTCTAACACCGTTTTAAGACTAGGCTAAAAAGAAAGTTGTCTCTGGTGTGGACCAATCAGTTTCAAAGACAATGCATATATTATCAGAGTGTTTTTGTTTGCATTCTGACCACAAATATAGTGGTTAATGCAGACATGATTCCTTGTAAAAGGTTTCAGTTTGGTGTATTAACATCTTAACACCTGTTTTGTTGCCAGAAACAAGGGGAAAACCTATTCTCATATTTTGGTACTGGCAAAGGAGATCCCATGATGTACTTAAGAACACTTAAGAATCTGGTTTCACCTTGTGTGGGTGACGATCTGGATTCGAACCCAGGCATTCAATATTGCTCTGAGGACCTCGATACTCAGCCTTTTGTAAGCTCTCCAAGCCACACACCCCAGTAAAGAAGAGTTTGTAGTGCACAGAGGAGAGAGTAGTGGTGAATGAATGCCCATGCCGTTGCCTCGCGCACAGGTGCAGCCCATGGACGTGAGCCACGCAGCTGCGGCGGTGACGACAGAGCACCCGGGCTCGGGCTCCCTATTGCACCCTCCACCCCCACTCCTGCGGCCACCGCTGCCCTCGTCCGCGCCCCCGCTGCACCGCCAGCCGCCCCCGCTGCAGCCCCAGCGCCCCGGCCCCGGCGCCGTGCTGGCGCGCCCGGCCACGCAACCGCCCCCGTTGATCCGGCCCGCGCCAGGTGCTCCCCCGCGTCTCAACCCGCGACCACCGGGCTCGGCGCTTGCGCAGCTCCCGTCGCTCGTGCAGGGCGGTGGCGGTGTTGGTGGCGGCAGCACCAGCGACGCAGGGACCCCATCCTCGCATTGAAGAATGGCGCTTACTACCCCCCCCCCCCCCCGTCTTCCTACTCGCCAACTCTTCCCTGTTGTCCACCACTTTTTATTTTTCTAACGCCACCACAAGTACTCGCCCGCTTCCTGATACGGGTGCACCACAGGGAAACAAACGGCAGTGGGTTAATCGCTGCGTTTCGCTTGGCCAGGTTTTTCTCAATAAGATGACGCTAAAGATGCGTGACCACCTGCTTTAGACGGTGGCACTCATCCGCAGTCGGCATGCGCTAGTTTACATCTTGTTGGTCATTGGCAGTCGAGCTTGCAGCTGTGCTGTAATCTGCCCGCATGTGCGAGCGCGTTAAGATCGGAGAAGAGCCCTTGCGTTTATTTCAAAGAATGGGAAAACAAATGGCGGTGCAGTAAATGCGAGCGTCGGTACGTGATAATTGTACCATCCTCACCCCTTTGATCCGGCCACCACCCCACAGCCATGTCAAGCAAGAGCCAAAAAGTTCCAACCGTTTCCAAAGAAATAGCCAATCGTGTGACCTTTGATCCGAGGTGTTGCCCTGCGACTCGTTGCGCCTTGACTTTGTGACGAGACGAGTATCAGTCGGCAGATACCGTGTCCTCCCCCTTGCTTCCAACATTTGTGGTGTCGCTCGGTGCATTTGCTGTGCTTGCTTACGGTCTGGTGCTACTCTTGAAAATAGAAAAAAAAATTAGAACAAAGAGATTATTAAAGACACACTAAAACGTGTGCGTGTGGTATCTATGGTCATAATGCATTATGACTCCCCCATTTGCATGTGCACTGGACCTGCGCACATTGTTTCCTTTAATTCTCAATGATGGCATGTGCAGTGAAGAAGAGTTGACACTTTTTTTTCTCCATGTATAGTGATGGAATTGCATTAACAGAGTGTTGCTGGAGCTGGTTTTTAGTTGTACAGGATACAAAAAGCTTGTTTTTAGGCTCCGAAAGACTGAACTGGGCCGAAGTTTGGGTTTTCCTTGGGTGACGTCCGCTAACCCTGAGCCTGGCAGTCCATGGGCCAGTTGCAGAAATTAGTGGCACTTGAAGTGGGGAAACCCTTAATCTATTCTAAACTTGGGGCAGAGCATTACAAACTGTTGTATGATACGTTGAACTTATTTTGCACCGTACGTAGCCAACCGTGCTGATCGGAGGTTGTAGAGTTTGACCCACGGAAGGAGAGAATTTCTTTTGAGAATCCTTCAGCTAGCGTTTTTGTTTATCCACGAGAGTGTGCACGTTAAAATGCTCGATTGCAGAGAAATGTTCAGTCATGTGGCAGTTGAAATAAGCTCAGTTGAAACCACTTCACTACCTTGGTCCCAATTTATTTTTATGGCTGTAAAAAAAAAGTTTTCAATTTTCACAGATTTTTAAAAAAATCTTTAGTACTAAATGGTGGTACTGACAAGTCAAATACTTGGTCTGGGCCCTTGAACACCAGACCAGATTGGCTGCCCAAAACAGGATTGAGGACAAATGTAGAATGAGGTGGTCCTGTGAATACCAAACCAAGCGTCACTGAGTCATGGTCAATTGGAGGAAAGCTTCAGTGGCAACATCATGCACCCTGCCTGCAACATAATTTTTTTTGCCCATGCTAAAGTTTATGAACTGGTGAAATGAAGTCTGAAAGCGAGACACATTTAAAATCATTAATTAAATATTGGGAAGTTAACGCAGGGTAACAATTGGAATGAAATCAATGATCGTGCATTTAAAATGGTCATTCTAGACGGTGCTGTCTGCTATGTGTTCAGTATGAGCATGTTTACATGCACAAAGTTTATCTGACCTCATTGGTTTTGGTGTGGGTAACACGTAAAACACAGAGCAGACTGCCTGCATTATCTTTTGGCAAGAGTGATGGTTAGTGGCAGGTAGGTGGTCTTATGTAAATACAGTAAGAATAATGTTAAAATAATTTAATGGACTATAACACGAGAACAGATATTTGGATGAAGTTCTTACAACGTTAACATTGAGCAGTGCCCGTTTAATTTGGATTTGACTTGTTCTATAGGCTTCCAATGTGTTTTTTCTTCTGTATTTGACGAAACATGTACGTATATGACTTGTAGTTATGTTTCCAGTGTGGTCGTGATTTTTTTAAAGTTTATATCTGTGTACAGTACTGAGGGGTTGTCGAATGATTTAAGCAGACACTATCCATTTATTGAGCCCCCCCCACCGTGGTTTGATAATTTGTCATAAAATCAGCGTCGCTTTTGGTTCCCAACATTTTTTTACATTTTTATAATTGTAGCGCCTCTAGTGTCTGCGGCAGTCATGAAATTATTACAGCATCCATAATAGTTTTTTTTAGGTTGGAGCGCGTAAATATAAATGTGTCGTTAAACTGGCCACCACCCGACACAGCCAATTAGTAAGGTTTGTCACGCCAACAGAACATTCCATTTCGTTACAAGTACATTTGTAACGAATTGGCATGTTCTGTTGGCGTGACAAACCTTACTAAATGGCTGTGTCGGGTGGTGGCCGGTTTAACGACATTTATATTTACGCGATCTAACCCAAGAAAACCCTGAAATGGATATTGGTCGCGAAAGCCTATGTGTTAAACTTATTAAATAAAATGACGGGATTTTCACATGCACAATTTTTTTTCTTGAGCATAATCTACAATTAAACATCTTGAAGCCAGCAGAGGCTTTCTGGTAGTTGTGGTGATAGATGTGGCATAATGCAAATGAAAAAGTACCAATTTGCTGGTATTTACGTAATTAACACCCATATTGAATTAAAACGGCATTACTTGGAACTAATCACGAAATCTTTTAAATTTTAAGATTTTACAATTTGAAGCAAAAGCTAGAAGTCTATAGGGTTGTAAATGTAAACCCTCTTGCAATATGTACTGTCCAGTATATAGAAAGTCTCTACATTTACAATAATATTCTAATATAATTCACAGTACATTCATTAGTCAAATACCCAGAAATATATATTTAACAATGTATACAGTCTTATAGCAAACAGTAATTGCCATAATTAACTAAATATATGCTGGCTTATCCTAAATTATTGCCTATTCCCGTCTGGTTTTGAGAGGTTTTGCTCTACAGTACTTTAATGTGTCGTTACATGCCTAATGTTAAAGTTACACGTGACCAACTCTTTGGCATTTTCATAGTTTTAAGCAAAACCAATGTCCAAATAAAAATATCCCCATAAAAAAATAATGAACTATTATTGATCTCCATTGGTGATCCTGGGCCAGTGTTGGAAATTCACCGTTCTTATGACAGGGGCCATGTCACGTCATGGGAGAATCCCTTTTATTTCCATGCGTTCAGTGGCGGAGCTTCACAGAAAAGGTGGTACTACGTCTCTGGAAGAAAAGCGACAACTATGATGGTAGTTGAGCCGAGTAGTTGACTTAAGCCAGGATTTGAAATCGTGCGGTAATGTTTGAGTGACTTGGGTACATCAGTTGAGTTGTCGCCAGGCCTTTCTGACTTTACCATTTAAGTATACCTTAATATCTCGGCAACTGTGAAGTGACTTGAAAAAAAATGAAGCAAGATCTGTCTATACTTTGCTGTTTACAACAAGTACGTCATTGACAGCCCTCATAAGTATTGTTTGACATCCGCTATATATATACATCCACATACATTAATTTTAAATCTTATGTAATGTTTGATATCTTGAGGTTTTGTGTAACTGTTTTGTGCATGCTGGCGGTGTGTTAACCCCGTATTACCACGCTCGTTATTTAGACTATAATTGGAATAACTGCGTAGGGAGCACACACTATTGTGATATTAAATTAGCGCAGTGTGGAGTGGCTTTAGTTGAAGGGGTTATAATTAGCATTAGATTTATAACAAATATATATTAGGATTTTACGTCACCCATTGAGCCATGCCTAGAAGTTGGGATGTTTTGACTTATATCAATGCTGTTAGGAAGAATATACTAAACAGGTAGCAATGATGTGATGCTAATGTAGACAATGATTTACACTGGGGTGTCTTTTATATGGAATTGCATAATCTTAATTAAACGCCCTTTTTGGAATTTTGTGTGCTTTGGTTGCGTGTGTTCGCTGTACTGAGAAGCCGTTTCCCCAGTCATCAGTCAACACGTGGCGAGTGTTGAGACCACAACGTGTTTCAAGGGAGCCGTGGATTAAAACAACGGCGCACAAAGGCATAGAACAGCGATCCGGTAATGTTGAGGGTCTTCACGATTCACCTTCTCCGGCGATGCAATACAACTCGATTCAGTGTCGCTTATTGACATCCGGATTTTATTTTCGTAGCGGTGAATAGTAGCGCCTCTAGTGGCTGCAGGGATCCTGTGAACCAGTTTACAACAAATCTAACAACACTCGTTTCGTACGCAAAACTGAGCACGTTCGTCATTTACACTGGTCAACAAAAAAAACATTTTTTTCTGGCCTGGACTTTTGCAGATGTTTTAGACTAATTTCAGGGTGCTGATTCCAAATCTGATCTCAGATTTGCTCTATCACATCTAATTTTTATGCTATCGGCATACCCCATTTTCATTGATTTTACCCGAAATTAACTCCGTCACTTATGATTGCAAGTTGTTGCGAGTCAGTGACTGCTTTAGTGTTAAAATATGGTGCTGTATTTTCAGGATAGTGTGTTTATAATATAATTTTATGTAGATATCCACATTTAATATTTTTCTTCTGCAGTTTTTATTGAAAAGGCAATATTTTATATCTCAAATACCTGTTGTGATAGACAAAAACTGATGCCAGATTTGGAATCAGCACCCCAAAATTACCTTAACGCCGTTGGAATACCTTATGCTAGAAAAAGTGTGTTGACCAGTGTAAATATCAGGTGGCGCTTTAGGCAATAGTTCTTCATAGCAACACACGTACTGCTGGCCCATGCTATCAAGGACCGTTGCTGAAGTCGCCTATATTTTTCCTTTCAAGGCAGTGTTATTGACGAAACGATTTGGGGTTCGATATGTGCTCGTGCAACCACTGCCTGGGCATTATCACCAAACGGATTCTTAAATAAGTGATTGGATGCACGTGTCTTTAGGAATTGATGCATTCGCCCACCCCTATAATATATATACCACGCTTACCAAATCTCCATAGGCTGTACTCGTAGGGATAACATCAGCAGCAGCAGCTTGGTTACAGTGTTGGGGTTACACGTGGGGGTATTTCGGGTTATGCAGTACTGAGAAAAGTTGGTGGCCTTGGGGGCAAGCTCGACATTTGAGATGCTTCCGTTGCTGTCAAAACCACGTTGCCTTGTGGGAGGTGGGGAGGGGGGTCGAAAGAAGCAGACAAACGAGTCGTTTCGTCTTCATTGTCACCGAGAGTCATGCTCAGTCCACTGCCGGATGAAGACCTGCCTGTGTCATTGCCAATCACGGGTGTCAATGCATCTCGCTTCTGCGTGCAAGCTCATCTCATCGTTCATAATATATGGGTTTGAGTCAGATCGCGTTATTTATAAATGTGTCGTAACCCTCCACCACCCGACACGGCCAAACAGTAAAACACGTGTCACGTTTTTCAAAGGACAAAATAATTCACTTCTTTAGCCCACCGGTGTGTTGTCGAGAGAATCAACAGCATTTTAAAATTTGAGTACGACGTTTCGCTGATAATTACAATCGGCTTCATCGGGCAAGAATGGTTAAGCTCTCCTGTTGCTTCTGGTCATAAATCATCTCATCGTTCCATCTCCGCTGCGGTCGTCCTCTTGGTTTTTTTTTATTCTTTTGTTTGCCATTCCGTCACCAGTCTCATCCGTGAGTCATTATCCCTTCTAGGAACACGCCTTGCCCAAGCCTACATTTCTGAAGTGAATACGATGTATCATTTGTGTATTTTCAGTGATACTTGTGCTCATCTCTCTCAATCTGATTTTCTGTACGTACCTGCAGGTTTCCCGGTGAGTGTTGAAGATTTTGCGCCATTTACCTTTGCAGTTTCCATGTTGCCTCTCCACATTTCACAGCAGGCAACATGCACTGATCGAAAACACCATAGCAAGGCACACCGGTGTGTTGCATTTGATCAAATAACATTTTCCAAAAAGCACTTCCATGTAGTCTGGCTCTCCTACGCATGGTGTACGTACGCACGTGTTTCCCAGCAGCGACCTCGAAACACACCGTCAAATGTTCAGCAAACTTGTACGTTCGTTCATACTACATTTATCTTGATATACTGGAAATTTAAAACACGATTGCTCAGCACACACCCAAGACGCCAAGGGGCCAGAAACAAACTGCCCAAATGAAAGTTGTGGTCAGAGGTGATGTGATGCCACGACTATACAGCCGCCAGTGAAGATACCAATACTCACTATTCACCCTGGCAGGTCACGGGACACCCAGCAGGTGCCATGGGTTGGCTGACCGAGATGACTGGCAGATGCTACTACCAGCTGTACCTCCTTGCTGTGCCAACTTGCTGTATTTTTTGGCCGCCCGGCGCTGTCGCTGGTTGTTGTGAGCGTCGCTCCTCTGTCCTCCGTTGTTGCCGGAGGGCGACTGCCTCAAACTGCCCGGTAAGAGCGTCCTTCACGAGCATCCTCCCATAGAGGTCGATCTTGCAACACCGATGGTACCAGTGGAGATGCTCCCCTCTCCATCAGACCCACTTCGGACACCCACTACACTCAGCCGACATCAGACCTCTCCACTCGAGGTTTTTTGGGGCCGTCCATAAATGACGTCACGCACCTAGGTGGGGGGGGGGGGGTCAGACATTTGTGACGATGTGTGACGAGGGGGGGTGAGAAATGTGACATCACATCAAAATGCGCAACTTTAAATATTGACACGTTCTACTTAATTAAATATACTTTTTTATAAATGTTTTCTCCTACAACATCAAGAGTGCAGCGCCACATTAAATACGCACTACAATGACAATAGTTTAAAGCGATTTGAATCATGTTTTATTTAATGGAAAAATGGTTTGGGGGGGGGCAGAGCTTTGTGACGTCATTTGAGGGGGGGGTCTGACTTTTTGTGACGCCGTGTGACGAGGGGGGGGGGTCAAAAATAGTTCAAAACCGCGTGACGTCATTTATGGACGGCCCCTTTCTCTGAGTGGGATGATTGGCACAGTCTGATGACGTACAGCGGTGGCGGGGTGCGAGGTGCGGCCAGCCCCTGTGACAAACGTGGAATGAATGATCCCCTGGGGGGCCGAGCCGCTACGTGTAATGCAGTGGACAGACAGCGTGGTTCAGGTAACACCGCCCCCACGTGGTTCTAAATGAGAGGGCCCCCACGTGGTTCAGGTATCACCAGAGGTGTGGACTCGAGTCATGTGACTTGGACTCGAGTCAGACTCGAGTCATGTGTGACTCGAGTCATGTGACTTGGACTCGAGTCA